TGAGGCTTTCCCAGCAGAAGGGCAGGGATCAGGGAGTCCTGATGGAGAGCGGGAGGAGAGTCCACAGTGGGGTCTGTGTGGGTAGTGGTGGCCAAATATTTTTTGAGCAGGACCCTCTGCTTTCATTTTGTTCATGGAAGAGACTCAAGTCACATCCACATCTGACCTGCCTGAGTGGGAGGACATGTGGGAGATGAGACCATTTGCAGTTTTCTCTGAGCACCCCCCTTACATGCTCAGAGACCGAGCGCTGTGGTTAACATTGTCGGTCCTGCTCCCCAGAAGCAAGTCACACTTTTGCTTTTTGGTTATAACTCTGGCTTTTTATTCCTTCCCCAGGAATAAGGAAATTGTCAAATACCTGCTAAACCAAGGGGCTGATGTCACTCTTCGTGCAAAAAACGGGTACACGGCCTTTGACCTAGTGATGCTGCTGAATGATCCTGGTGGGTTATTTCAAGGAAAGGATTGTAAGTCTGCCCAGTCTTTCTCTGGCTGGGAACTAGGCCCACCACCTCCTCTGTCAGCGGGTTTTAAGCACGTGCTTATTTGTGGGGTAAGCCAGTCTCAAGTGTCAGGAGCTCACCACGACCTTAGGCAGGTCACTTCCCTCTCCGATGCAGTGCTGGGCTAGACCATGCAGTCCCTGAGGCTTCTGGGAGTCTCCAGGGAGGGAAGGTGCCCAAGGCAATTGTCTGGCTTTACAGTCTACACAAATTAATGGCCTCTGTGCTTCACAGGAGAAACTCTGACTCAGGAGAGGAAACATAAAGGCCCCTTTGATGGGTAGAATCAGAGATGGAGCAATGCTTTTCCCTCCCTGCCCCCAACCCCGGGCTGATTTGTGTAAGTGGAGGCTACAGGGTCAAGGACACTGTGCTGGGGGTGTTGCCAGATCAGCCCCCTTCATTGTTCTGACTGACACCTCCTATCCCCCTTGTCCCTCCCCTGCTGTGATGGGGCTTCATCTAGGCCCTGGTTCTTCCAGTTAGTCAGCTCCAGGGACAAGGTCTTTCTGATTCACTGTCTTTTTTACTACCCTGGAGTTTCAGCCCAGACAGAGAACAGCTCAGAGGCCCTCTGACCCACAGGCTTTGAGTCCTGTGCCAGACCCCCTGCTGCTGGCTGTGAGGGTCCCCAGTGGGGTTGCTCCTGGTGCTGTGGCTGGCAGGTGGTGGGCAGGAGTACTGTCCCCCGTACCCAGCATTCCCCTCACCACCCCTCCCTGCAGCAGGCCCCTACACTTCGCACAAGCTCGCTTGGCTCCGCTGGTCCTCAGGGTTTCTAGGGGACGCAGAACTTCACATCTTCTTGTAGGTATGAGGCAGTGAAGGCTGTGGAAGTGATCTGGTCCAGCTAGGGGATTGGGTCCTCTGCCCACAGCCCAGTGATCTCACTCTGCCTAGCGGAGACCCTCATCATGAGCCGAGTTTCATTTGGAATCAGACCTGAAAACATTCTCTGGGTCTCGCGCTTGCATTTTTCTAACAGACCCACTCTTCAAGTGTCTCTTCTCCCTGGCTCTCCCTTTTCTCTACCTGTAGCCATTTTTAACCTAGTGGTTTTTCTGTTTTATTTTGTTTTTATTACCAGAGGACACATATTCTCACCAGAGACAGAGACAGAGACAGAGAGAGAGAGAACCTCCCTTTGGGGCATTGGGTTTGGGACTTGAACCACGAAGTTGGCCACGTGGGATTCAGTGTCTAATCTCCACGCCGCCCAATGGCTTGAGCCTGTGTTTTAAACCCACTGCCCCTCTGCCTTCTTGGTGGGAGATGGCTTTGGTTTTTCTTTCTAGTTGAGTAGCTTAAGCCCTGCTGGCTTTTACTGCCACATTTTGAAGAGCATTGGAGAGGCAGGTGTCTTGAGTTTGAAGTTACACAGACCCTGAAATTGCAGGGTCTAAGGTTGACAAGAGTCATCTCGGGCCCCTCCCCACGGCCTGGCAGACATATCTGCAGGTTAAACGCTGCCTTTTGTGTCCATAGACACGGAACTTGTTCGACTGCTGGCATCTGTGTGCATGCAGGTGAATAAAGACAAAAGCCGGCCCAGCCACCAGCCACCTACACCCCACTCAAAGGTCAGACAGCCCTGGAGCATCCCGGTGCTGCCTGATGACAAGGGCGGGCTGAAGGTTTGCCTTTTCTCATCTTAAAGGGGTTCACAGGGCTAGGGGGAAGGGGAGAGGGAAACCTGCTACTTCCTGTTCACCCAGGGCTGGTTTAGGCTAGGGGTCCCAGCAGGGGTGGCAAGTGAACTGGGGGTGAGCAACAGAGTGGCAGGACCAGGAAAACTGGGGTGACTGTGGGCTTTTAGCAGAATCAGGGATGTGGGTCCCTATTGCCAAATCTTGCAGTTTTTTCCAGGAGAAACCAGGAGTCTTGATTTTGATGTAGGATTTCAGTTTATAAACATACGGAGTGTTAAGCGGTTCCCCGCAACGCAGTAGCGAGCTGGCCAGATCGAGTGCCTCTTTTCCCTGGGTGTCTGTCTGCAGACAACTCTGTACCCATAAACTGTGCCCCCTGGGGTCTCCACCCACTGGCTGCCTTCAGCTCCCTTCTGGAAAAACCAAAAGCAGTCTGGTTGCAGACTTCTCACTGCAAGCTGGGCGGGTCTGTTTCAATTTCTCACCTTCCCAATCTTGCTCTACTTGTTCGAAATGAAGCTTATTTTATTCCTGAGAAGACAGAACACTGACCCTGTGTGCTGACCTCCCGTTCTGTCTGGGGAGCAGCACCTTCTGAGATCTGCAGGCTCAGCCTACCTCCAGTGTCCATTGCTCACTCAGGCTCTGGTTCTTCATCATTCTTCTCCATTCCCAGCCTCACTGCCATGTCCATGGGCCAGACCCTCAGGGCTGCCATCAGGGCTTTGCAGAAACCTCTGAGCAGGCTTATAAGGAACGCTTTGGGCTGGCACCTTTTCTCTCTCTAGGTCGGGAGGGATTGGCTGCAAGAGCAGATGGCCCAGGCCTGGTGCAGATACCAGATACCTCTTGTACTCACTGGATTAGGGAGAGGGGGTCATGCCGTGGTAGATGTTAAGGTGTTTGGAGTTGCCTCTGTGTCTGTCTCTCTGTCCTTGTCTCACCACAAGACCTGGAGCAAGTCAGCACCCTCTCTGGGTCTCCCCTTCTTAGTCTGTGCAGTGATGTTCACTAGGTGAGGGACAGCAAACAGGGTTCACTGCCACCTCCAGTCTAGTGGCAATGACCACCTAAGACGAGGTCTGGAGGGATTCAGTGAGCATCCATGGCACATCAGAAAGGAGCACTGTGGTTGATTGGTAATGCCTGCATGGACTGGGAGTGGGGGCACGCATGTGTGAAGTGCATGCACTGACCCTGGTGGGCTGGGTTCTAGGCCCTTCCTCACTGTTGCTGCAATATGACCTCTACTCTGCATTTCCTTGGCAGTCCTGGTGGAACCGAATGTCCAATCGGTTCCGAAAGCTTAAATTGATGCAGACACTGCCCCGCGGGCTGTCCAGCAACCAGCCTTTGCCTTTCTCTGATGAGTCTGAGCCAGCTCTGGACTCTACAATGAGAGCGGCCCCTCTGGACAAGACAAGTCGCTCTGGGCTCCCTGATGTGGCCCCCCTGGCCAAAGACAATGGTAAGAAGAGGCTGCGTGTGTGTGAAAATTCCCAGAATAGTCCAGCCTGTGTCCTCTGCCCTTTGCTCCACCTCGGGCTGGGATCAGGTGAGATCCACCTGGGATCAGGTGAGACAGTGTTGGAGTGTGATGTGGCACCCAGAGACTGGCCTGGTGGAGGAGAGACTCAGGCAGGGACACGGCTGCTGTGCGTGTGATGGACTCGAGGAGTTCAGGAGCTTTCCAGAGGTTTTCCCCAAACCTACCAAACGGGACTGGTGTGCAGCATGAAAGTATTTTGAAATAGAGTGAGTTACCTCGGGGTGGGAGGCTGGGGCGGGCAGTGAGCTTCCACTCGAGTGATTCAGCAGATTGGATGACTTTCCAGGTTGTGAAGGAGGTTCTCCCTAGTGACTGGACATTGATTAGATAAGCTCCCTCCTATGGTCCGATTCCCACACCCGGGACTGCTCCTTTGGCAGAGCTGTCGAGACAGACTATTGAGCTGGGTGCCCCACCGTCTGAGCCAGCACAGCAGCGGGGATGGAAAACCTGCAAGCATACTCGGAGATACCTTTTAATGCTTTCTTTCTATTAAAATATTGAATACCAATTACTAGTAAATATTTAATCACCCAAGAGAGTTGGTTTTTGAAGATCGAAGCCCCCCTGGCCACTTGTCCTCATGCTGTGGCCATGTGGGGCAGAGAGGGGGGTCACTTCAGGAAGCTTCCATTTGTCATTTAGGTCCTGGAAGCACGAGAGGAGAAAAGGAAGATGCCTTATTGACAACCATGGTGAGTGTGGGCTTTCTAAAAACATTTAGGTCTCTCCTGGTCAATGATTGATTGAAAAGAGAGATGTAGGTATTTATCCCCTTGGTGGTCACAGATGGAGTTGATGATCAAAATGTGGAATAGTGAGTACAGTTCTGGCACCAAGGAATCAGAACAGGTGCCATCCCTAAACTGGGTAAGGCTGTGCTGGTGGCCTGATCCTGTCCTTAGGCAGGTAGGAGGATTGAGGGGAGGAACTTGTGGGCAACAGCAGATGCAAAGACCCATCATTTTGGTTTTGGAGAACTTGGGGAGAGGATTCAAAGAGGAGGATAAGTGGGGCCAGCAGATGGCGTAGCAGTTACATTGATAAACTCCCACGCGGCTGACCATGGTTCAAGTCCCAGACCTGGTGGCTTGAAACTAGGGCAGGCATGTATGCATGTGGACCCAAAATCCTGAGAGGAGAATAGAAGAGAAGGGATTGCAGTGTGCCCATCCCCCTAGAGGGTGATTTCTCACTTTCTGTCTGTCTGGCAACCACATGCATCCTATAGCAAATAAATTTTTTAAAAAATAAAGCAAAATAACAAAGAGAAGGATGCGTTTCCAGCCTGGGAATGGCCTCAGTTTCCTAATCTGTAAACTAGAAATGTATCTGATATATAGGTTCAACTCTCAGAACAGAAAGTCCCCAAGTAATGATGGCACAAATGAGCCAGCAGCTGATTTTATTCAGGTAAATACAGTTTAGGACTATACAAGTCTCCTTGGAATTAGGGACCCAGGTCTCTCTTACCCCTTGGTCTCCATTGCATGACTTCTGTCCCCAAGGTACTTCCTAGTCCAAAATGACTGCCAGAACTCTAGCCATTACTGCCTCTTCCAGCCAGTGGGAAAGATGAAAGGAGAAGAGGTGGCCATGGGCCCGCGTCAGATGTCTTTAAAGAAGTTTCCTGGAAACTGCTGACATTACTCTGCCTTTATCGCATGGGCCAGAATTTAGTCACATGGCTGCACCACACTGCACAAGAGGCTGGAACATGAGCCTCTGTTCTGGGTGGTCGTGTGCTCTTCTAAATGTCAGAGGTGTCATTGCTAAGGAAGACGTGGAAGGTGGATACTAGCAGCTAGTTGCACTCTCTGACTTAGGGGATGTTCCTCATGGTTGTGCTTTTTATTTTTATTTGTTTATATTTTAATGAGCAATACAGGCGTGTTTTTGACAGCGTCTCACCATGTCACCAGGTAGCCACCTCCCAGGTAGCCAGGACTGTGGGTGCATACTACTGTGCCAGCCTGCTCAGAACCAAATGGCCTCCCGTGCAGTCCCAGCCTCCTATAGCAGCCCTCTACCGTTTGCACCACTGTGGCTGGGCCATTTGTAGTTTCTACATGAGATCATTCCCTAGACGTTCTTGGCATAGGGCCCGATCCAGAGCACACTCTGCTGTGTAACTTTGGATGTGTTACCTCACCTCTCTGGGCTTGGTGTTCCTCTCCGAAATGAGAGCCTCTGTCTGGTTGAAGCAGGACTTTAGTCTATTTGGTGCTGAGACTAACACCAGCCAGCAGAGGGCAGCATGGGAGAGGACAGAGCAGACGCGCTCTCTGAAAGCTCACAGGCACCGCGGAGCCCAGAGGGGTCCTGAGCATTTCTTGCCACACGTTGCCTTACCAGCAGGTGTAGACACCTACTGGGGAGCTTGTGCTGCCTGACATTTGATCATGGCGTTCAGTAGCAGCAATCCTTCACTGTGAAGATGGAACTGCTAGTATTTTTGAGAAGATGGGGTGCAGTATAAAGAAGGAAAACCAAACCACCGTCAGTCGCACACCCAGACACAATCATGGTTGACATTTTGCAGCATATATCTTTTGAGTGTGTTTCCCTGAGCTCATTTTAGTATCTACACATATGATGTCGTGCTATAAGTAATAATAGTGAGGACTTAGCACAGCACTTACTGAGTACCAGCCACTATTCACAGCACTTTACCTGCGAACTCATTTAATCTCCCTGGCAACTGCACGAGGCTGGCCCTGCTGTCCACTTCCCATATCGTATTGGACCCGATTTATTAACAGTTTGTCATGACCATCTCTTCCATGTCATGAAACACTTTAGCCACGTCCTATTTAATGACCGTGTGATAAAACATTCCATCACAGCAATGTGCTCCTGTCTCTTTATCTAAGACTGACCTGTCAGACTTAGGAGTTTCTAGTTTTTCATCATTTTTTAAAAAGAATTATTTTATTTAACTTTATTTGTTTTAATTTGACAGAGAGGGAGAGAGAAAGAGAGAGAGAGAGATAAGGTGAGAAAGCACCCTTAAGGAAGGATGACCATACTGTAATCCCTTCTCCTCCATTCTCCTCTTGAGATTTCAGGTACACAACCACCTGCCAGCCCCTAGGTTGTTTTTTTTTTTTTTTTTTCTTGTTATTTTATTGGTTCAGGTGAATGTCCTTATATCTCAGTCTCCCACACTTGTCTGATTATCTCTCTGGAATAAATAACTAGAAATGGAATTCCCAGGTCCAAGGATGTGAGGTGACAGCAGCTGGGTTTTTGCCCCCGAGAGTGGCAGTGCCCACCCATGGGGGTTGGCAGCCATCAGCGTCCAGTCTGACCCCATCTGCTGCTTGCCAAGACCCAGAGAGAGAAGCGCCTGTCACATAGGCGGGCAGAGCCAGTGTGAGAACCCGGGTGCTCCCTTCCGCCCTGGCACTCTCCCGTCCTGGCTACTCATGCCCTGTAGAGGGCACCATTGCACTCGCCCACCTGCCCCTTGGCGGGTGGTGGGTGGCCTGGCGTTTGCAGCCATCAGCGTGGAGAAGCCCGCCTGCCCAGCTCTCGAGGCAGATTGAGCTGTGGGATGTCGGCCCCCACCAAGTACCATCTGTCACCAAGTTCACTGTCTTTTCTTAATTAAAGTGAGTGCAGACTCCAAATGCAGCTCCTTGACAATCCAGCAGTCATCCCTGTGTGGGTTTTACACTGACCCTCAAATCCCACTTTCAGAATTTAAAATGGAGTTAAAGTTGAACATGTCAGCAGCCAGGGCGAGGCTGCTGTGGGCTGGGAAGGGCGTGTTCGTTGGCCTAGCCCTCAGTCCTCTCCCTGTCCACTTCCAGTCCTGCTCCCACCAGTCTCTGGAGCTCTGAGCCTGACCCTGCTGCTCTCCTCTCTGGGCCTTCCCGAGGTCTGGAATGTCCTCTGCCCCATCCTCACTAGGCAGCCTGTGCCCTTTGGACTCTGCTCAGCGCCCTTTCCTGTGCTCCCCTCCCAGCACACTAGTGTCATTCCTTCTCCTAGGCCCTCTGTCCCCTCTGCCCCATCTTGATCTTGCTGCTGTGGCCAGATCCTGGAGAAGCTGGGAGCTAGGTCAGCACAGACATGGGTGAGGAGGGGAGCTGAGGGCACCACCTGGATTCCTTCCGGGGTGGGTGGTGTGTGGTGGTGCCGTTCTCTGTGAATCTGGAAGACGTGAGTCTTCCCTGCAGAGTCGGGAACCATCCTGGGCTTGTCTAACCCTCAGCCTGTTTCTTTCAGCTTCGGAATGGAGCCCCCTTCACCAGACTCCCGAGCGACAAGCTGAAGGCCGTCATCCCCCCTTTCTTACCCCCTTCCAGTTTTGACCTGTGGAGCTCCGATCGATCCCGGACATGTCCCAACGGGAAGGCCGACTCCATGAAGACCGTGCTGCCTCAGAGAGCCAGCAGGGCCCACCCCGGGGGCAGCGGGAGCACAGACTCTGTGAGTTGTCTGGTCGACCCGCTTTTCCACACGGCTCACTGAGATATTGGTGTGTCATAGGCAGAGGGACTTGGACCAACTAACCCAGAGGAGTCATGGATTTTTTTTTTTTCTTTCTAATGAGTAAAGAAACGTTTCTGTCTAACGAAATCCTACAAAAGAATCCAGTATGTGAAACAGGTGAACATGTTGGAGTGGGGAACATGTGTCCCCTCTCTGAAACCCTGGAGCTCCAAGGAACACAGTTTGAAGACCCGAACCAGCTAATCCATGCTTCTCTTTATTTATTTATTTTTTTTTGGCGAGATTTTCCCTGTAGGGCGCGTGCGCTCGCCAGACAGACAGAGAGAGACATAGAGACAGAAAGTGAGAAATCACCCTCCAGGGGGGTTGGTCACGCCGCAATCCCTTCTCCTCCATTCTCCTCTCAGGATCTTGGGCACGCACGCACGCACACGCGCCCAGCGTGAGTTTTAAGCCACCGGGTCCGGGACATGAACCTCGGTCGACTACGTGGGAGTCCAGCGACATAGCCATTACGCTAACTGCTGGTTCCCTCCATGCTTCTCTTGAGTTGATGAGGAAACTGGGACTCAGAGGATCATCCTGCTAGATGGGGATGGGCCTAGGGCCAGAACTCAGGTTCCTGGCTTCTAATCCAGTCTCATACCACGGAATTGCTCAGGTCCAGAACCGGGAGCAAACACCAGGGGGCAGTGGTGTGCTCTGTGTGACCAGAGTGTGACCAGGAGTGTGACTTCTGTCCTCTGACTGGGGTTGCTATCTTTGCAGCCCTTCGTTTTCGTAAGTGGGTCCTAGGGACAGGGACAGGGGCCCAGCGCCAGACAGCAAGGTTGTGCCAGGCAGGTGCAGGCACCGGCTGGCGTCAGATGCAGGCCACACTTAGGTTGCCCTGCACTGGGGTTCTGTGAGTCTGGAGGAAGGAACAGCCGGCTCTAACCATGATGCCTCCCTCATCTTTGCAGACTCCCGTCAGGCCAGTTAAATTTCCAAGTCTCTCCAGAAGCCCAACGTCTCCTACCAATTCTGGAAACTTCAACCATTCACCACATTCCTCAGGCGGCTCCAGTGGGGCAGGGGGCATGAGCAGGCCCGGCGGGGAGCTGCATAACCGCTCAGGTGGGTAGTTGGGCAGGACCCTTGGGGCTGAGGGTGTGGCCTGCCCCTGCTCCCAGTCTGCAGCCTTCTGCCTGGTGGAGGTGGTGCTGCTGGCTGGGAGGGAACTGGAGCTTGTCCTCACTGCCTGACTCTTCCTCACCCCTCTCCAAGACACGCTGGCAGGTGATGGCCACCACCTCACGACCCCCTTCTCGTTCCCATGCAGAGCTCCCTGGTCGGCCCTGACCTGGGATCGACCCCATCGGCACGTGGCAGCCTCTGTACCCAGGATGGTCATTCCTGTTTCTCTTTTCTTAGGAGGCAGCGTAGACAGTGTCTTGTCCCAAATCGCTGCCCAGAGAAAGAAAGCTGCGGGATTATCTGAGCAGAAGCCTGGCCACCGGTCGAGTCCTGTGGGGCCAGCACCAGGGCCCAGCCCATCGGAGCTTCCAGTCTCCCCTGCAAGTGGCGGTGCTCCTGGCGGCAAGGTGCTTGTCCTGTGTCAGCTCCTCCGGGTACACTCTCGGGTCTTATCTCTGTGGTCCCCAGGCTGGGGAGCACTGGACAGGACTAAAATCCCGCCCCAGCCAGCCAGCCACTCGTGGGCTTGCTGCAGAAGGCTGAATCCATTCCCTGCCCACTCCATTCTCCACCTCCGCCTTTGGGTGTGAGGAGCACTGAGCTGCCTCAGACTGCCTGGGTGTGCCCCCTCTGCTGCAGCCTCTGTAGCCGGTGTCCAGCTTCATGTTACAGTCATGCACTGATGGGTCAGAGGGGCCAAGAGCAGGGGCTCCGGAGCAGCCCACCTGGGTCTCATCTCAGCCCTGAGCTCCGGTGTGTACTACGGGTCTTCGTCCCAGTGTGCCTATGTGGGTGCTCACTGTTCATGCTGGTGGTGGGATTGGCGGTATTCGTCCTGCTCCCACCTTCTTCCACTGTGTGTAGTTCGGGGGCCTCTGCCCTGTGCCTGGCACAGCTAGCAGTGAGCAGCCCGCTGTGAACGTGGGGGTTTGGTGGCCATTCTGAGTGTCTCTAAGGACACAAGCAGTCGGCTTGTGTGATGGGGCTGTCGTGGCAAAGGGAGGATGCTGTGGCACAGATGGAGCCCCTACTCAGGCTGAAGGGCATCAGTGACATCCAAATGAAGGAAAGGGGAGGAGCCGGGTGAAAGAGGTGGGGCCGGGCAGGCCTGTTGGTGAGACTGTTCAGAGTGAGAAAACAGCTTACGTAGAGTTCCTGAGGCTGGAAGGTGGCACCAGCGAGGAGCTGAAGGAAGGTGGTGGCAGGACAGAGCAGAGCCTCAGTTCCCCGCCTCCAGGCCCTGTTTCTCCGTGATGCAGCTCAAGCTTAGTCACCACATTTTTAGTGTCTGTAAAGTTTGTAATGGACGAGAAACTTTCCGTGCCTCCCCGGAGTGAAAAGTCTTTTGGTGTCTTCAGACTGTGTTTCCTCCACCTCCTGAGCCCCTGTGCCTGGGGTGATTTTAATGGATTGAGCCTCCAGAGTGCAAGTGACTAGTAAGTGTGCACCTGCTCCTCCCCCAAGTGGCTCCCAGGTACCAACCATAGACTGCAGAATAGAGTGTTTGTTCCTCTGAGAGGCCCCACGCTCAGGCACAAGCCCACTCTTCGTCCTGTCTCCTGAGTGTCTTAAGCTTAAGAGTTAGATCACAGAAAGCCTCATCCCTGGGTCTTTGCCCACCATGGAAGTATTTCAGAGATTTCTGCTTTAATGGATGATTGAGAAGTAGGCTTCATCTTCTATCCGGCCGCTGTCGGTCATACAGCTCTTTGCTATTCCAAGTTCCTTAACCAATAGGACCTACAGAAGTAGGCTTCTTTAAAAATTAAGCTCCAAAAATTTTTCTCTTTTCAAACATTAGCTTATTATTTTCCATATTCAAAGTTATTTGTGCAATAAGACCTATATAATGAGGTTTTTTTTAGAACTTAGTTGTATGGGAGAAAATCTCTACTGATACTTTGATATATGACTTTGATATCTTTTCTTTTATTAGGTAGTAAGACTTTCTATGATTATTGTGTTTCTTTTTTTTTTTTTTTTGTCTTTGCTGCCAGGAAGCTCAGAGCTACTCATTAAAGTAAGTCTACTAGTCTGGGACTTTGACGTAGTTTTCCTCTTCTCAGTTACTTAGTTATTTCTATTTCTATTCTGATGACCGTAGTTGCTGAGTTAGATGTTATTAGCTTGCTTTTTTTTGGAGAGGTTTTTGCTATAGGGCGCGTGTGCTTGTCAGAAAGACAGAGAGAGACAGAGAGACAGAAAGCAAGAAATCACCCCTCCAAGGGGAATGGCCACGCTGTGATCCCTTCTCCTCCATTCTCTTGGGATCTTGGACATGCACACACACACACCCAGCTTGAGTTCAAGCCACCAGATCTGGGACTTGAACCGTGGTTGGCTACATGAGAGTCCAGTGACATAGCCATTACACCAACTGCTGGTCCTGTTATTAGCTTGCTTTAATCAGTGTTGGAAATAGGCATGCATCTAAGTTGTAAGTTTTATTAACTGTTACTTCACTTGAATTCATCTGTCTTACAATCTATATAGAAGTATATATATATATATGTATTTTATACAAGTATATTTTGATGAAAGAAATAGATGATGTCAAAAGATGGATTCAGAAGACGATAAACTAGGGCAGTGATCCTGCTCAGTGATCACCTGGTGTTTTGTGTTGATAAGTTTATCAATTTATATCTTCCATGACCAAGAGAGACAGAGAGACCTCCAACAGGGTGTTGATGGCAGGATCGTCTCACCCTGAGCCAGCCTTGAATCATGGGCGTGCGGGTACCTGGCGAACTCGGGTCTCTGAATGTCCCCTTACAGAACATTACCTTTTACCATTGTCCCACTGGCCCAGTGATGTCTTAATATAATAATATGTTAAAACATCGGTGACCTGTTTAAAAATTCAGTTTTCTGGGCTCTACCCTTGCACAACTGAATGAGATTCTCAGGAGAGGGTTTGAGGAATCTGTTTCGTCCCCCTCAGAGAATCTGTTGCAGCCAGCTCAGCCCAAGGGCTCTTAAAAACCACTGCCCTAAATCAAAGGACATGAAGTGGGCTTTTTGTCAAAGCCTCCAGCAGAAAAATGTAGACATGAAGTGCCTTTCAAAGACTCCCTTAGAAAAAATTAGAAATTAATATTCAAAATATGAGTCTCTTGAATCTGATTTTCATACTTTGCTTAAAACAAGCAACTCACTTTAATGGTAGAATATTCACAAGCTGCGTTCCTAGCATGTTCATGAATCAGTGTGAACTGAGCTTTCAGAGATGTGGAATGGGTGGGCTTAAAGTATACACTGACACTTCTCTGCTCTCTGGAGGCCCGCAAGGCCCACTCGTACAGGTATGAGCTTTCTGTTCCCACCTGCCTGTCTCAGTTCATTATTGCATTGCCGATGCATGTACCTGAGACTGATTTATAAAGAAATGGGGATTTATTTGACTCATGATTCTGGTGGTCAAAAGTCCAAAGGCTGGTATCCAGCTGGCCTGCATGACAACACGACTGACAAGCAGTAGAGGACGGTGGGTGTGGGCAGAGAGGGAGCAACCGGGAGCAGCCATCTTCCTTCTATAACGACCTACTCCTGTGGAAGTGAACCTGTTCTCATGGGAGCTAAAACTCACTGGGTCTCTCTCCAAGACAACATTCATGAGGCCAGTGCCTCCATGACTAAGTCACTGCCTACTGAGCCGCCCCTCTTTAAGAATTATTTATTTAATTTTATTTGTTACTATTATTATTAATTTTCTTCAGGGCCTGTGCATTCACTAGACACATACACAGAAAGAAAGAGAGATGCACTCACCAGACACACACCCAGAGAGAAAGAGAGAGAGAGAGAGACAGAGAAAGTTAGCCTTCAGGTCTGGGACTCAAATCATAGTCAGCCCTGGGACCAGCAATTGGCGTAATGGCTATGTCGCTGGACTCCCATGTAGCCAACCGCGTTTCGAGTCCCAGACCTAGTGGCTTAAACTCACACCGGGCACGTGTGCTTGTGTGCCCAAGATCCCAAGAGGAGAATGGAGGAGAAGGGATTGCGGCATGGCCATCCCCCCTAGGGGGTGATTTCTCGCTTTCTGTCTTTCTGTCTCTCTGTCTTTCTGGTGAGTGTATGCACCCTATAGCAAAAACCTCTCCCCCACCCAAAAAAAAAAAAAAATCATAGCCCTGTGGGAGTCCATTGCCTTAACCACCACACAACCTGCTGGCCCCTAGGCCTTACCTCTTAAACTTCCTCATCCATTCACCACACAAGAGACTCCGCCTCCCAACACCATCACAGATTTCAAAAAATGAAACTCCGGAGAACAAACCTTTATCCAAACCATATCACCACTCAGGTTTCAAACAAAAATCATTTGTTTAGCTTGTGAATCTGTGTGTTGGCAGTTTAGCTGGACTTAGCTGGGCAATGCTTCTAGTCTAAGAAGCATCCTTCACATGTCCAGCTGTCAGTCTGGGTGACCAAGACAGGTGCGCCATGTGTGTCCACAGCAAGCTTAGACAAGTTGTTATGGCAATGACTGAAAACGGGTTGAAAACCAGTTAAGTAATTTAAGCACATTGGCATGCCTACTACAGGAGTGCCTCCATACTAAAGGGTATGGATCCAGGAAAAATAAAGATGATGCCTTTAGCACAACTAGTTTGCCACACTGGGGATAGAGAAAATTGTTCAAATATTTCAGAGCATCTCAAAAAAAAAATTTCATACTGAGAAACAAAAAATAAAAAAGAATCACAGCAGACTTTTTTTTTTTTTTACCAGAGATTATGCAAATCTAAGACAGTGTCATAACATCTTGAAAGTGACATTTTTAAAGGGAAAAAAAGTCAAGTTGGCTCTTAGAAGTGAGTTAGAAATCATTATCTCCTATTTTTCTGGAAGAAATTGTATAGAATTGGTATTGCTTTTTCCTTAAATATTTGATAAAATTTGTCAATGAAACCATCTGGGCCTGCCATTTTCTCTTTTGAAAGGTTTTAGCTTACAAAATAAGATTCTTTAATAGTTATAGGACTGTTTGGGTTATCTATTTCTTCTTTAGTGAGTTTTTTTGGTTTGTTTTTTTGAGGGTTTTAAAAAAATTTGGCTAGAGGGTAGGTGCACTCACTGGAGTGAGACACAGAGAGAGAGGACAAGTGAGAAATCATCCTTCAGGGGAGAATGGCCATGCTGCAATCCCTTCTCCATTCTCCTCTTGGGATTTTGGGCAACACACACCTGGTGTGATTTTTTTAAGCCACCAGTCCAGGTCTTGACTGTGTGGTGAACCATGTGGGATCCAGCTACCTTAACTATCATGCCACCAGCTGTCCCAAGTTTCATATTTTATATCTCCCAAGGACTTTTTCCCTTTTATTTAAGTTGTTGAGTTTATGGATATAGAGTTGTCTGTAGAATTCCTTTGTGATCATTTTAATGTATCAGGTCAGGA